AGATGACTGAGATTGCCCCAGGGTGAGGGGGCACTGACAAGAAAATGTCTACAAACACGGACAGTGAAGGACGCCAACAGAAGGCTAACCTATCAACACTTAAGACACAGCAAGAGTTATCTGTAAGCAAGTCACGGCAAGTGTCAGAACCAGACAGCTCAGAGCAGATGACAGGGTATGGCTCCCGGAAGGCCAGTGTGCTTGGATGTGCACAGAGACGGTGCCACTGGCATCTGTGCTGATCCTTGACAACTCACTTTGACGTCTGTCACCCTAAGAAATGTGGCTGAAGACTAAGCTCTAACACTCCAGGGTTCCGAACTGCCTGGGGTGCTTGGAGGGCACCTCCCATGATGGGACCTCTGTGCCACACTTTGTTCATAAGCCTCTTGCATCCCCAAAGGCTTCAGGACAAGCACGACACACAAGCAGAAAAATCTTACAGCTGCCGTGAGAATACCCAATAGCAGGGGGCTTTTCTGTAACACCTCTCTGGCCCCCCAGTCACCCAACTCTCCCCAGCTGTGACATGACACCCATTTGCAATCTGAATGCCTCTTGAGGTCCACTCTTAGTGGAACCTCAACCACAGGCCAGTCCAGGCAACCCGCTTCAGAGCCAGCTGGGAACCGAACCACAGGGAGGGTTTTTCCTTGTGAGATGTTTTAAACCCTAGAGCATTTGCTTTTAAATAATGAAACTCCCAAGGTTTGAGATTCAAATCAATGAAATCACAAAATAATAGACTGTTGATTCATAGACAATCGTTTGTCACTCCACCCCATTCCAATCAACAATCCAAACAAAAGAGAAAGTTTGCTCACAGCAAATTGAAATGCAGGAGTTTGTTCAAAAGGCCTCAATCACATCATTGTTGAAAGCAAGGAAGCGGCAGCACTAACTCCAGGAAAAATAAACATGACCCAAGAGAAACTTAAAGTGCAGCCCAGAGGCCAACCAGCCAAGCTCCAAGCACAGGGCACAGAGACCAAGAACACGGCCCTCTGCAAGGCCCTGTCCCGGGCACCCGAGTCCCACAGGCAGAAGGTCCTTGCACTGCTGACCCAGCCCAGAGCACAGTCCCTTGTAAGTAGGGCTATTGGGGGAGTCACATGAGAGCAGCCCAGGGGGCCCCCGAGGTCGCTCCCGGGCCCCCCGAGCTCTTTCAGCCCAGACAAGCACCTTGGATACTCAGGGTGGTCAGCGCCTCCTCCTCTGGCCCAGGTCACCTGCTGACTTTCCCTTTCCTTTCTCCAGTTAAACTACAGCTCCTCTACTCCGCAGAGCTCACCTTGCCCCGTTTGGGCGCACCCCTGTCACCACCAAAGAAGCGCCCGATGGAGTCAAGGATGCCCGTGTCTCTGTGCTTCGGGAGGAAGCCATGCCTGGCATGGTCCATGGTACTTGCTGTGGCCAGGTACTTGGATCCGTGTCTCTGAGAGGGTCTCTTCTGTGACGCCATCACATCCAGGCTCTCGGAAGCTGCTGCAGTGTCTTCTTGGATGGTCTGGAGCTCGTCGGACTCCGAGGGCCTGTCTTTGAAGGTGTTGTCCTCCCTCCCCGGGGCATCTCGGGAAAAGAGGCGGATCAAGTGGGGGCGGTTTCCTCGGTCAGCTGGGTGGGCATCCTGCCAGGCATTCTTTGGGTCCACTGTGCGCTTGGAGTCTGTCACCGCCGTGTCCTCAGACGAGGGCCCATTGTCCTGGCTCGCATCTGCCTCTCCTGCAAACAACAGTGAGATATGAATACGGGCCTGTGCTAAGCCAAGCCTGGGACAAAGCCGCTTTCTTCCAGGGGTCTTGAACTAGCTGTCTCCTATAAAACCCAGAGCATGTGCACTGCCCATGAAGCCACATGGCAGCCACAGACTGCCTCTGGCAGAGACCGGCCTGCACCGAGCACCTTGGGCAGCTCTGGTTTTGCAGGAGGCCCTGGGGTTACCTGGTGGCTCATGGTTTGGCATCTGGATAAGACACACCAGTGCTTCCTAGTGAGGTGTCTGAGCAGGCACAGCAGTCATGTCAGAACTGCCCCCAGCACTGTGCACAGCACCTGGAGAGCCCAGGAGTGCAGGCACCCGACGGGACGTTTGTTGTCTCCGAGACCACGGTGCAGAAGCTCAGCATGCTGGGAGCTTCTGTTTGACAAAAGGTGTTTTTAATGTTCTTGGTAAAAATGGAACTTCCCACGTCTTTTTGCCATTCATGCCTTTAAGAAACGGGGCATTTAGAATTTTTCCATTCCTAGATTCCACAGGAGCCTCTAGCATTAGAGAACTGCTGATTCAGGACATTTTGATTGGCTTCTCTTCTGCAAGCAGCAACAATTAGAACGTTCAATGTGGGAATGGGCTATTTCATGATGTATGCTACCATCTCATAGCTTTCAACAAAAAATAGCCATTTCTCTCAAGAATGGAATGAATCTTTTTTGCTCTCAAGTTATTGTAAATTAGTAAACCATTTTGTTAATCCCCCCAACTTACTACTTACCTGGACTAAATGTGAATTCACCTACACTTTCCTATAATACCATCTATTCCTTGTATTCATCCACTGATGTTACTCAACTCATCATTCATTCACTCACCCACCTATTCATCCTCCCATCCAACCTCGCATCCATCCATCCATCCATCCAACATCCAAATACTCACTCACCTGTTCATTCATTTATTCATCCATCCACCCATCTACTACTGATAGTTCTCAACTCATCGACTCACTCATTCATCCTCCATTCACTTATCCACCTGTCCATCCATCCATCCACCCACCATTTATTGAGCACCTAAAAACTGTAATGCATTGCTCTAGATGATTCAGTTACAGTGACAAATACGACATGGTCCTGGTCCTCATGAAGTTTATCTTTCTTTCTTTCTTTCTTTATTTCTTTTTAGTTGTAGATGGACACAATACCTTTATTTTGTTTTATTTATCTTTATTTGGTGCTGAGGATTGAAACCACATGTGAGGCAAGCGCTCTACTGCTGAGCCCCAGCCCCAACTCTGAAGTTTACATTTTGGTGGGGGAATCAGATGAAAATATATGTTCCCAATTGGATGGTGTCCCCTACAATGACTCATCCATGTCCTAACTCTCCTACCCACGAGTGTGACTTTATTTGGAAATAGTCGTTGCCGATCTGACTCGATAAAGATGAGGTCATACTGTAACTGATGACTGGTGTCCCTTTGAGAGGGCAACTTGAGCAGAGACATTGATGCACAGGAGAGAAAGGTGGACTGAGTTGCCAGCCACAGCCATGGACGCCAAGGAACTCCGGCACCGCCCGAAGGCACCACTGCCCCTGAGCCTGCAGACACCTTGGCGGGGGACTCCCGGCCTCTACCCTTGGAGAGAATGAATTCCTGTTGCTGTACACCCGGGCTTCCTGCCGCCTCATCTGCAGAATCTCCACAGAGCAAGCCACGGCTTCACAGCAGTAGAGCTGCTGGTCTCCCAGCTGCTGACCTCAGGGGACTGTGTAAGAAAAATGGCACTCGGGGCCACCGGGACTGACTCCAGGGCACTAGCCACTCCTGCAAGGGCTCTGGGACTAACCACCATGTCCTGCCTGTCTATTGCCTGAGCAGGGACCCATTCTCCTTCTCTGCTCAGGTCTCATTTGGGGCAGGAAGAAGACAGGCCATCAGCTCTGGGGACAGTAGCCCGCGAGGGCTGGGAGTTTGTTTGCTATGTACATGGTGGGAGTCTGTATAACTGTGACACATACTCCCTCTGAAAACCAACGTGTGTATGATACATCTGTACCAAAGGAAGGGACTTCACACTCTTTCCTCAGTCACATGGGTTGAGAAACTGCCCCATGATACTGGCCATATAGTTGATAAAGCTGATCAATGCCACAGATACAGGACCTGTTTCTCAGGCAGAGTCACTCCCATCATCAATGATCACTGTTTGCCAGTGACAGAGTCTAAGGCCAAGGAGGAACCTGGGATCCCTGTGGTCTTATCCAAGACCCTAAGATAGTATGTAGAGCTGTCCGGAGTGTCCACGCTGGCCACGCCAGATGCCTTTGACAGAGGCCCCCAAGTCAGGAGGAGTGTGGGAAGACAGGGCAGGTGGGTGCAGCTCTCCTTCAGGAAAACTGGCTGAATTCAACTACACGAGAACATAGTTCTAAATGCACCATTGCACTGTGATGTTTGAGGAAGCAACATAAAGAACACTGGGGTTGGTGCAAAGCTGGGGCCTCTGCAGGGGCGCTGTGCTGATTTATGGGTTGCAGGAGCAGCAGAAGTAACTAAAGAGCCTGCTCTTGTAGCTGAGCTTCATCCTCCGTGGCTGATATAAATTAATGCAAATGTGAAAGGAAAACAACAGCTATATTGTGCACAATTAAATGCATTAACCAAACACAAGAGCATCTGAATACTAATGTTTTCACAACAGTTGGGCTTTGTGTCCCTGAACACAGTTATTTGTGAGGCACAGAGAAGCATTTATTTCCCAAAGTAGTTTCTCCCAGCGGTAAGAAGTGTGATGTGAAGTCTAAATCTGTGGACGTGCGACGGTTTTGGTGGGACAAGTAGCGCTGAAATGCCTCCGTTTACACATTGAGGCTCCCGAAGACTATTGTGTAGATGTTATTTATGGAACAGAGCATTTATTACCAAAACCAGTGGAACACGCAGACCTGATTTTACCTGAAGAGGTGCTCCTATCTCCTGTAGGATGGACCAAATCCTACAATCACAGGAAAACTTCTTTAAAGAAGAACACACCTCAGTCCTCCAGCCAGAAGGACCCCAGCTGCGGGGAGCGTCCTGGCCTTCAGCAGGGCCACAGGAGAGGCTGAGCCCATGGGGACCTAGGCCAGGTCTCAGCGCTTCTCGACAGACCACACCTTCGTCCTTCCTGCCTTCCGCCGCCTGGGCTGGGCTTCTGCCGCAGCAGGGTGGCGGCTCCCTGCCCTCAGGTTCCCTTCAGCCATCAACAGCTGGGAGGGTCCCCTGGGGCTTTGCAGGGGAAGGCCGCAGCAGCGGTGCCTGGCCTGGCCCCCTGGCTCGGCTCCCTCGCCCACCCAGGACAGGCTCCTCCTGTTCTTCCCTGGTTCTCTAACCAGTGCCAGCATGGGCCACGCCAGCCAAAGCCCATGATGGCCTGTGTCCTGGCCCTGTGCTGGCCCATCCTGGGCAGCCTGACCACACCCCTCTGGACATGCCTTGTCTTGTGGTCAGTGCTGCAGTGATTGCTGATTCCTTGGAGTGGCTCCCGGTTTGCTCACCTATTCTCCCTGGTTCGGTGACCACCTCTCTGGGGACAGGAGCCATGCAATGTCCAGCTGTGACTATCCAGCACAGTGCTGGGACCTCGATGGACGCTCACAGGTAATTACTGTTGGTAGTGGAAGATGCTGGTGCTTCCTGGAGCCTTCTCCAAAGGAAGTAAAAGGGGCCAAAGTCCTCTTCCAGAAGAGCCTGGAGATCGGCTGCTGGCAGTTAATTTGTGGTTTTATTTATGTTCATTTTTAAGTGAGAATTTCTCCTAAATCTCGAGTCTCTATACCTGTAGTCTAAAATGCCCTGGTTTAACAATGCACTTCAGCTGTGTGATTCTTTATGTCCATGCAGAGCCTTTGTGATACTCTAGACAAGACGATTCAGTAAAGCTCTGCAGCGTCAGCAAAGGAACCAGCCACGCCCCTTCTCAAACCGCACACCTGAATGCAGCATCTGAACTCCTCGCTCGTTTGAAAAATGATCTGTGGCGTGGCACAGACTTCCACAAGGCCTTTGGTACACATGTGCCAAGCCGTCTGTCGAGAGCAAACCAAGCCCAAAGCAAAAGAAATGGGTGTGGCCAGGACCAGGGGTCTGTAGAGGATGTCAGATGAGGCTGACCTCCATCCTCTGGTGGCCTGCGGTGTCCTTAGGTGAGTCTGAGCCAGGAGAGCCTGTGTTGATGCATGGGAAGGTGTAGCTGCATTCTAATCTCTTAAAGTCCCTCTCAGAAACAGCACACTACTGTCTGGCTTGACGTTTTCATCTAGTGTCGCCTGTAGCTGCTGCTGTCCACAGAAAGTGAGAGAAATCCTCGTGGGGTGTCTTCCCTGCCTTTCCAGCGACCTGTGAAGCAGGCGGCTCTGTTGGCCCTTTCATCCACCTTTGGAAACCGAGACCTGACAAAGCCACGCAGGGCTATGCTACTCCAGTCCTCTCCACGTCTGGAGACTGTGGGCCACTGCCCACTGTGGTCGCCTCACACCTGGCCCTTCTGCACCCTGAGCTGGCCTGAACCGGAGCAAGGCTTTGCACCTCAGGGTAAAAGTAGCTGCAGACAAGTGACAGCCACACCTTCCAGATGACAGCTACATGAGGGTGGCCAGGAGGCGAAGGCAGTCACCAGTCCTGACAGGAGAGCTCATCCAGTGTCCCCTGTAGCTGGCCAACAGCAAAAAGCCTGTGTGCACTCCGCGGCCTGTGCACACAGACACCTGCTTGCCGGCCTCCCTGCCCCTCTGGTTACAGTTTACAGTGCTGTCCTTGGCAGAATCCACAAGTGACGTTCAACCCAGCGCCACTCAGGAACCCCACACATTCTATCCCGGCAGTCTGTCCATCCGACATTTCCCTGGAGTCATCTGGAAACACACCACAATAACTCCGGTGCTTGTTTAGAAAACGGCCACTCAGCCCTCAGCTTGCTATGACCAGAAAACGACATAAATGAAACACTCATACAGGACAATCTCCAGTGAAGTTGTGGTGACAATGAATTCCGTCCTGTATTCAAATACTTTTTTTGTAACCTAGAGCGTATTTCTTATTCTCTATTCAGTCGTCTCCATGGAAATCGCAGCCCATGAGTGGCTTTCATCAAAGCCAAGTGGGCGTGTGTGGGCGTGAGTGTGTGTGTGTGTGCATGAGTGTGTGTGTGTGCATGAGTGTGTGTGTGCATGAGTGTGTGTGTGTGTGTGTGTGTGTGTGTGTGTGTATGGAGAGAGAGAGAGAGAGAGACAGGACACAAGCGAGCGCAATAGGAGGGGTATGGGAAGCAGTCTCTCAGGATAAGGCTGAGGGATGGATTTAGCTTCATGAAGGTCACACTAGGGGTCACTTCTGACCTGCCTGCCAGAAGATGCATCCGCCACACAGCCTTCCGGGGGCCACCAAGCTGGAGGTGGCCAAATCAGACCTGCAGTGACTCTGGGCAGGCTGGGGCTGGGGAAAGCCTGAGGAAGCCTCAGGTCTTGCTTGGAGGGGACATCTGGCTGGAACTCCCTGCCCTCTGGAACATTCCAAGCCCCAGAGACCACAGGGACACTTCTGGGACTAGCACTTCTCATTTTTCTGCAGGTCACTAAAGAAATCCCTCAGTGGGCCTCTTGGGAACCACTTTCCACACAGATTGTCTCCCACGTGACACCCTCAGATATTTTGACAGAAATGAAATCAGTTTGGAGGGATAGTGTAAGAACAGACGCCTGGCTTTCTCTCCGGCTTTCCATCTGTTTTGGTGGCGCGTCTAAGTTTGCAGTCTTGAGTACATTTGGGTGTTTCGAGTTCCCGTAGAATCACCACGCACACAGCACATGATTGCGCGGACACACACACAGTCACAACTACACTGACTTGATGGGTCTCCACCCAAGAATCAGGGCCCCCAGCTTCACGTCCACATGACTTCCTTTTGGGAGAGCTGACCCCCAGTGCCCGATGCCAGTCCAGCATTCCCACAAGAGGCCATCCCACGTGACCTTCCTGGTTATCTCCTTTGGGCCTTGGGTCCAGATGCCTGTCTGAGGAGATTTTGGAGTTCACTGAGTTAACACAGAAGTG